TTTTTTCTTTCCAATTTTTTTATACAAACAGAAATAGATTGCGATCCCGATTATTAGTTTCCCTTAGTTTTATCAAGTCCTGGAAGAAGATGTAGGGTAAGGGGTCTAAGGGTAAAAATCTCGTTCGATCAGGTAGATACAACTTCGTTTAACACTTTAACTATCACGTTACTCAAATTCGGCTGACACCATTTTGTACCTAAATTCAGACATTAATTTTCTTGTAGCGAATGAATCCTATTTTGTTGGATGTATGAGGTACAAGAAATCTAGTAGAGCAATCGTTACGAAGAATCTTGATCGTTTAGTTTCTGCTTTATTAACTCATTTGCATCATTAGCGTATATAAGACCGCTATCACCCTTTTCATACTTCTTTATGATACAAGTGGGTTAACCTTTTAATTGGGAATAACACGTTGTCTAAATTCAGTTTTATTTCTCGATGGTTCATCGTTTTCGTGTTTGTTCAATGAAGAATTTTTGTTTCATCAGATCGTAATGTCAGTACTAGTATACAGATTATACAATATCGAAGTGAATCATTATACAGTATCTATAATTTATTAATTTATAATAATTATTGGTTTATTAGTTTATTCTGCACTGATTTAATTTTTCTCGAATTGTGCTTTTACAAATGCTCACGTTTGGAAAATACACAGTTAAGAGAAACCTGTTTCGACTGCACAGGGTTTTTGATGAATGTTTACTCGGCAGTCGAAGTATCAACCCCCGGAGTGAAAATGTCGAGTCTTACTCGCGCGTGCTCTCTGTAGAAAACATGATTTTGTAATTTATTTTATGAATAATTTTCTTATCTTCTATGTAGTTTACAGGTTTACAGTTCTAATCGGTTACGCGTAAACCGTATTGAAGAACAGTAAATTAAAAGTTTAGAAATTAGGAAATAAAACCAATAGAAAATTGAGCGAGAAAAGTGAAAACTGATCAATTAGTCGAATTCTTTAACCTAGATATGAAATGATCTAGCAGTACTCCGCGTTGTTTACGAGACGAGGACAGCACAGGATAAGAGTGGTCTCTTACTAGAAATTTTGTTTATAGTTTTAATTGATTTTGAGTAATCGTATTCACGAGTAGCAAATTAGCATCGAAAATGAGATGAGAAAAGATGAAAGTCAATCAATGAAATCCACAATTCTTTTAGGTCTCGTTTCTCTTATGGTTCTAATTGATTACGCGTAATTGTATCGACGAATAGCAAATCAGTATCGAAACTGATATGAGAAAAGATGAACGCTAACCAATGCGATCCGCATTCTTCGCCATCGAGTGATCGCCCAACTGTACGTACGAGCTTTTTCTGTTTTCCCATGGCGAAAAGGAGGGTAGGGGGTGCGTGTAGCGCGAGAAGATCCCGCGTAGGCGACATAGATCCGCGCTAGCCTCCCGGCGAAGATGAAAGGGGCCGACTTTCGGTCGAGCGGACAATCGTTATCTGGCCTATAGAACTGCTCGGTGTCCTCCCGGCAGGAAGAGAAAGAAGATGAGTCGATGGCCGCAATTATCCTAGCCGGGACATAATGCCCCGACCGCAGAACCGCGGATACAAGTGCAGGGCGAATCGGTCATGCGGCCAACCGACGCCGCCTCTATAGATCCACTTGGCGAAAGGTGTTTCTTCCCGGCATTCGAGTTACCTCATCCGCGCAATTTTCTTATCCTCCTTCGGCTTATCCGGCGGCCACCGTCTAGATGGACACCAAGGGGGTTACTGATCCAGGGGGAGACAAACTTTTCTTGCGGAAACAGTTTCCCTTCGACGCCGCACCGTGGAAATTTCCGTCTTTTGTTTCAATTATGTTTTGTTGGATTCTTTCATCCGGGTTTCAGGATGCTTTACGTTCTGGACGTTTATATTTTTGATTTTGTTGGGATTGTAGATTTCGGGGGATTTGAAATGTTTAATACTTTGACTGCTAAGTAAACACGCCGTGGAAATTGCCGTATTTTGTTTCAATTAGATTTTGTTGGGTTGTTTCGTATTTGTTCGGTTTTAAGGATGCTTTAGCTTCCGAAGGCTTATATTTTTGATTTTATTGGGTTTGTAGATTTCGGGGATGTGAAATGTTAATATTTTGACCGCTAAGTAAACACTCATGGAGAATCCTATCAAGTCCTATCGAGTTTTCTTAATTGCTCAGTGCAGAGTTCCGTGAAATACGGGTTGGAAGTATTTACGATGGATTATTAAACTCTACTGATTTATTTACAGTCAAGATTATAATTTATTTCTTCTGTATAAACGAAAAGCTTTTGTTAGGAAAAATTTAGTGGTAACCATTTTATATTGATAAGTGGAAACATGAGTAACGGTTGACTTGAATTTGTACATAAATTAAACATGAATTAAAATAAAATAATTGGGAGTATCGTGTTGTTGTGCGTATTATAATAATTTGTTTGGATAAATTTCAGAGAACAGAACGAATTCGAACTGGACGATACCACCAGCACCTGGGGGAGGGCCTCCACTGCCCCCAGAGGTCAAGGTTGAACTGCAAAATCGCGAATTGTGGAAACAGTTTCACGAAGAAACAACGGAAATGATAATTACGAAGTCGGGCCGGTGAGTACATCCATAATGTTCCTTAAATTTAAAGAAAAAATAAGTGACAATTCTTCAAAGAAACTAGAAGCTACTTAAATCATAAATATCTAAACAGAAGTGTTATAAAATGAATTCAATCTGAAATGATGGAAAAACAAAATAAAAAAAACTACGTTACATTACATTGTTATCATTCATTTAAACTACTTTTTTGATCTTTGTACATTTTTGGGTTTTTAATCGAAGTCAGACTTGTAAATATTGCGAGTGAGTGTTCTAGAGGGTGAATTGTTTAGTAATTGTTTAATAAGCATTTACGAAAATATTCTTGAGTGCTTAAATGTTATGGTAGTTGTAAGGTAGACAGGGAAACTCCTTTGACGAGTCGTTGCCGAAATTTTTTTGTATCCCGAATTCCATCGGGGTTGGAATAGTCCGACAGGCGCCATGCGACCACACCCTCTGTCGCTGTCGGAACTTACAGCGTCTCCACCTGAAAAAATGTCGATTTGTCCCGGAATTGTTTCTACATTTTCAATGCTTTCTACCCCTGGACAAATACCTGTTTCTAGTTTACAACGTCCCGAGTTAGCAACCGACACGCCTACAAACTTTTTTTATCCCAATATCAGAATGTATTCCAGTTAAGTTTCTAATCGGTTAACTACTCAGAATAGTTTATAAAATATACTCCCAATCGTGAAGGTAAATTATATAATAAAAAATGATGAAAAATATTTGCATTTTTTATTTTTAAAAATAAATATCGAAAAAATGTATTAAAGCGTTACTTTTATTCAAGATGAATACGTGTGTTTATAGAAATTGTAAGTTTATTTTGTATAGCATTCCTTTAAAGGTTCATTTATAGAACTTACAATGTTTTTATAATACTCTATATGAAATTTTATAAAACCAGTTCCAAAGGAATATCACATTAAAATCTTGAAATACGAATCAAAAAATTTCATAAAGCATCACAAGTTTTACAAGACAAGTTCCAAAAGAATATCACATCGAAATCTTGAAATACAAATCACAAAACTTCATAAAGCTTCACAGGTTTTACAAAACAATTTCCAAAAGAATATCACATTGAAATCTTAAAATACCAATTACAAAACTTCACGCAGCTTAACAAGTTGTATAAAACGATCTCGAAAAGACTGTCACGCAGATAGTTCACCCGAAATGACCTAAAATTCAAAGTCGCCGTCCGAAATACCGTGCACGCTTTCTGCGGGGCCAGGCCAGTGGGCAATTTTAACGAGGGGCCTCATTCGAGCGACGACAGGGCGATTAGTTTCACGGAAGGTGGTCGAGGAAAGTCGTAAAAGTAAGGTCGTGACGACGTGTCCGACGTTTATCGGCGCCGCCGATCTACGAATCATTTCACGAGGGTAGATTTGCGGGGGAAAGTCGTACGACCGGAAGGATGCAGGACGAATCACGGCTTCCGGCCACTCTGCACCGGAAGCGATCGAGCTACCGGTGACTCCTTCCCAGATATGACAATGTTGCCTATCTCAAATAAGATTACCGAGAATTTCGCGTTGCCACGCGTTAGATAACCGCGTTAGATAGTTGCACCAGATGTTCGACGTAAGACGGGGACGAGAATGTGAAAAAAACAGGTTTCTCTGAGCAGTAATCCTTGCATGAGCTGTTCATCGGCTAAATCGGTTAACTCCACTTTTCAAATTTTTTAAAATTGTATCGTCAGTGCGCTCAAAAAGATCATGTTCGTTCGAGAGCACCAAGAACCGAAATGAAGAATCGAAAAATAATAATTATAGAACCATTTCATAATCGATATAACTCAGAATCGATACACTAAATAACAGTTACCACTGTATTTGATTTCTCCATAACTGTTTCGAGAATGGAAACCGATATCGTAACTGTTTTCAATCCCTGACTCTACATATGGAAGCTTATCACCAAAATGGCGACATTCGTCCTCAAAGGATTATAAGTAATACGTTCATGGCGGCACGTACCATTGATGGCTCACATTTTAATATCACATTAGACGGCGTATACCATCAAATAAGTAGTTCGTTAAACTAGCTTAGCGAATAGAAAAAATCGCCATACAGTTGAATGAATTTACTTATTGATAATTTCAGCATTTCCAATTTCAAAAACTTTCGCCGCTAGATAAGGGAAAGTGAGAATTACGTCGGCGTGAAAATTAGAGTGACTTATCTCCACTTTGTAAAAATTAGAACAATAGGTTTCTTGAGATTCGAAGAATGTCCTAGTCTCGTAGCTGAGCAAATACACGAATTTAATCCTTTGCGGACGGATGCCGGCATTTCGCTAAGATGAAATGTTCGTATTTGGAAGACTAACTCGATGATTTAATTAGTCGAACAGCAAGAGATCAGAACATTTCCTTCTTCTCTATTAATTAAGGAACTGATATGTAATTTAGCTTCATATGTTGAAGATTTATTATTTCGAAGAATCTTCGTCCGCGAAGGGTTAATTGAAAATTTGTTGCAAAAACGCCTTCAGAATCTAAATACTCGCAAGGTAAAAATTCTGAAGTGGGTCAATTTTAATGTTGAACACATGTACATAAAATACGTCTTATTATTCCTTCGGGGACCGTATCTGCGAGCCGCAGGTAATTCGTGGGCGGTCTCGGTTGTACAATGGAAACGAAGGTGTTTGTCCGTTCGCATATTCGTGCCTTCCGGTGCGGCGGCGGCGTGGCGCAGTGGTTCCCGCCTTGCGAACGGCACCACGTGTCGACCACGTGTATCGGTTCGGCGCGGAGTTCGCGCGCACCAACGTAATCAGTATTCCGTGACACGATCGACAACTCTTGTTCTCCTCGATCCTCGCTGTTCTTTCCCACACCCTATCACCTTCTTTCCTCTTTGGCTCACTTACCCCCCACGTTCCCGGTGACCTTGCGTCACCGATGAATAGCCGAACGAAAACGTGCACCCCAGAAGCGCAACACCGGACCAACACGCCCGTTTTCTCTTCTTCCGAGCGTTTCCTCCGCGACGGGATCCGCCGCTCTTGACCGAAGATAATTAATTTCACGTCTCCGTCGTGATTCGCCCGTTACTAACCACTGGCCCGAGCGTCTTTCACGGGTTTACGGGTTTACGAGGCCAGTCGCCGAAGGTTGAGAAAAAGAAGCTGACAAGAGAACCTTTTCAACCGGCACACTTCTATTTTCATGAAACTTAGGTGCAATCTTTATGTTTATCGGAAATAATTCATACCTATTGTATATATCTCGACTTTCTTCAAACTTTACCTATATAATCTAGAGATTATATTATTTCGCCGAGACAAATGTAGAAAATAACGTAATATCAACGTATGTAATTGAATTACGTTGTTATTATTCCAAGTTTGAATTGTTGAATGTCAGTGCATTAAGTGGTGTTACTTGTAATATAGTAAAGTTTTCAAATGATCATCGTTTAATCGAATGAATTGTAGTAATTCGATTCGGTTGAGGTCACCGGTGACCCCATGACATCCACCGTGTTAATGTTCAGAGAAAGAAGCAACATTATTCTGAAAACACAATTCCTTTCTCACCTAAGAAATAGTTAAGATTATTCTGTTTACTGATTCCACGAGCTATCAAACTAAAATCGACATCTTGAAATATCCTCTAACGTTTAATACGCGGAAACTACACTCTCTTCTGTCTATAGCGATAAAATATAAAAAAATCCTTTCCTCTGGTAATAAGATTTTTTGTAACGAGCTAGGGAGGTCTAAGACATGGTTATTTATACTTCGTGACTCGTGAAGCGTCACAGGTTCGCCTCACGAGGTTGTGCCATGCCACGTGACTTTCGATTCATCTAATCTGCAAGATGAAAGGAAAGCGGGGCGCGTGCTACGGTTGCACCCACTGTATCAACGCTATTACAGCATTATCTGGTGATTCGATAATCTCGAGTGGCTTTTTAAAAGGACCAGACGCTCGGAAGCGATCGGCGCACGGGCCTACCGAGCAGGCCGTCGCGACGGCGTAATCCTCCACTTACAAGGGCGCCACTTTTAGTGGATTCAACAACTGAGGCATGGCGTCGATCTTCTTGATCATTGACGGACGCGTCTCCTGGAGACGTAGGGCGGAGTGGGGATGAAAGTCCCGTTTCTCGTATAAATGGTTGTAAATTCAGTAGTAAAAACACAATTAGTGGCGCACTAAAGACATTCTCCGAGTACGAACTTTTATTGGTCTCTTCTTAAAAAATTGAAAAACATGAACGGTCGAAACCTTACTCTGCTGCAAGGCAGTATGTCTATCTCTTCGTACTATTAACCCCTTGCTTTATGATTTATTTCTAAACTATGATCGGTACGACTACTTTATCGTTAATAATTTATTGGGAAAAGAGGAAATGTTGATATCTATATTGTTGTTATTGTTATTATTTGTTAAGTTATTGTAATATAAGTGTAATATCGTGCTGGATAACATTCAAACAAAATTTAAGAAACATAAATTTCACTCAATTCTTTTAAATTTAAATTAAATATTATTCTTCTGTTATCAATTACTATACTTTAATGCATTACTATATTAAATTACTATATTTAAATTATTAATAACAAAGTAGTTGCATCGATCACAGTTGAAAAGGAAATCATAGGGCAAGGGGTTAATTTTGTTGCCTAATTTGGTTTCTTTGACTGAATGTTTTCATTATTTTATAATTTTTATTATAATAAGTGTAAAAATATTTGTGAGTTTGAAAGGATAGAAGAAAATTGTTATCAGTGTTCATGTGTCTATTTTTTTAATAATATTTTAAATGTGTAGATGTATCAAGAAGCATTAACAGGGTTAATTAAGGGATCAAACGTGTTGATATAATGGTTAAACGCGAATATGGAAATACCAGTGGTAAATCGGAAGACATTGAGTAATAGATGTCATTAGATTCCTTGGGTTCTCCGTCGTTAATTGCGTTGAACGCATGAAACTTAAAATGGCAAAGGTCGCAAAGACAATTGCGACTAAAGGAAGATTACGGTCGTGAAATCTATTTCACAGGCACAGGTTGGATTTTCCGTTGCTAATTGTGTCTATCAAGATTCGTAAACATCAATGGGTCAGGTTACTATTGTCGTAGAAGCTTTAAATGAACCTTCCGCAGATTTAACATCTAATTACTTTTGGTCTTAACAAGTACACGTCTCTCTGCAATTAGAAATAAGGAAAGAAAATTTGTTGTGATTCGTTCTTAATACGTTCGACTTTCCTTGAAGAATTCTTTTTCTACTTAAGACTTATTCATTCTATTATCGATGATAGAGAACTTAAATATAAACAAGATATTTGCATTATAGAACTCTGAGAAACTATTTTCTATACAAAACTAATATTTTCAATTAAAAAATTATGTTTATTCAATGTTTAAAGGAACAAAAAAATGATTATTTTCCTTTTCTATCAGTTTTTTATGTTACCATCGACTTATCATTATTTCGCAGACTGGCGTCGAATTACAACTGGCGTTTTTATCTTGCCATACATTTAAAGAGACCTCCTAATCCTAAAAATCCTCATTACCTACTTGTCAGAATCTTATTCCAACGTCACTGTTAGTTTCGGAAATATTAAATGTTTCCTAAAAAGCGGATATTTTCAAACTTCACTGATTTTCCCAGAATACGGTATAAAAAATATGATTTTGACATTCATCTTTCTGAAAGAATTAAAAGCGACGTAAGACTACGTTACAGGCATCGTTCCAAAATAATTGCAAGTGACATAGTAGTGCATTATCAGTACTCAGCTACAGAATTTCAAAAGACGCGAAACTGCTACCCCGGTCTCCAACGTGCCAACTATGCGGCGTCCATGAAACAGCGGAGAATTAAGCGGCGTCGGGAAATCCGCAATTAGGTATGCAAACGGACCTAACCGACGGCGATTGACTTTTGGGGGTTTGCTCACGGGATTATCCGCGAGTTTGAAATGTTTACACGAAAGGAGGAAAACTGGCTGCCGGGATCGCAAAGATAGCGGACCGTGATGCTTTCAAAGACCATTCGCAGGAAGTAGGAGCCTCGAGTCGTTCCCTCGGCGACGCCCACTCGTTGCTGGAACGTTAATGACTGGGAATTTTCTGTCCCTTCGGTCTGGAACTCGGTTTGCTCGTGCTACCTGTGCAAAATGCACGTTTAACGCGACACGGACTCCGTCGGGCGATCCCTGTGTTGCGTTTCCGGATACACTTGCGCCGGCAGTAAAACGATTTCGGCGTCCCGCGTAACGAGTTGCGGCGCCCGACATTTCAGTCGTTCAGAAGCCAATGCGGTTTAAGTCTAGGAAACGAGGATTCAGAGAATTAATGTAACGGCTTCTGATATTATACAACATTCGGTAGCTGTAAAAAGGTCCGCCTGACCTAGAAACAACGAAGAAACCAGCAAATCCTTTAATAAGTAAGAAGGGTATTATTTATAGCATTCAAATGTACAAACATCAGAGAATATCGAAAAAATGGACTTAATCCCATTGACTTCTAAGTGAGATCATTTGTCGCTCGTTTAGGGGTCATGAGGAATGAAGTTTTGATGCAGGCGTTAGGTCGGCCTAACGTTGCTTTTCTAATTGAAGTTTGCGGACGAAGATTCTTTGAAATATACAAAACCTTCAGCAGATCGTGCTAAATTATATATCGATTGCGTAATTAATAGAAACAGAAAACTACGCGCTGATCTCTGGCTGCTTGATTAATTGAATCGTTTGTTCGCGACTTAGTCTTCCAAATACAAACGTTTCATCTCGCTAAAATGTCGACAGTCGTGCGGAAAGAGTTAACTCGAATTATTTAAATCGTTAAATCGAATTACTGTAATTCACTCAATTAAACGATGATTATTTGGAAACATTTTTATATTATAAATAATACTATCTAATACGTTGGTATTTAACTACATTTACGCAAAATGTGAAAGTGCAACATTGCGCAGAACACGGGAAATTTGTGAAAAAAAATGTAAAACATCCAAAGCGTAGTGTTTTTCATAGTGACCATTAGGAAAAACCATCTTCTATGGTAATTCTATTTTTTTAAAAGTATACTCGAAATTCGAAAAAATTTGAATTTACGTAAAGTTCCGCGGTTTATCGATGAATCTCCACTTATTCGTTATTCGTAGAGAAGTTTGCGTACTCATTGAAATCGCTTCGTTTCAGGCTAATGTTCCCGTCTATCCAGCTGGCGATCAGTGGATTAGAGTGCCGCGCTCGTTATTGCGTTCTCCTCGAAGTGGAGCCGGCGTCTGATCGCCGACACAAGTATGTCGGCGGCGGCGGCGGCGGCGTCGCCGGCTTCGAGAATGGTTGTGGGAACGCACGAGGCTGGACATCGGCTGGACCAGCCGAATTGCAACCGTCTATCGATAGAAGACTTTATCTGCACCCGGAGAGCCCTGCAACGGGTGCACATTGGATGCAGCATTCCCTGAAGTTTAACAAACTGAAACTGACGAACAACGCTGCGGATCCTAAGACGAATGTAAGTATATTTCAATTACTATAAAATATATTTCAATTACATTTCAATTACATTTCAATTATATTTATAGTACTATAATCGATAAAAATACATCTACGACTTCTCTTTTCACCCGTATCATTGATTTATACGTAAATATGCTTTTCCTATTAAAATTACTTCGAGTCGCTGGTAATGTCAGTGAGAAAAAGCTTTGAATGCAAACAGTTAATATTATAATACATTACTAACATTTTGAACATCTAACCCTGTGACGCCATTACACATACGCAAATAATGGTCTTAACTCTCGATTAATTACACTTGTGTACTTATATTTACTATGAATATATTTCTATAACCCTTTAAACTGTGTATAAACTATAAATCTGAAATTTACTCATAAAAATTCTTATTATTAAGAATTTAATAATTTTATTTACTCACAAAAAAAGCTAAGCACGTAGAGCAAGAAATGTGGTTAAAAACAATCGACTTGATATTGTATTTTGTTTATTGTTCGTGTAACGATTTTGCATATTGAGTTATTATCATATTTTTCATATTCGCGGTGGCTACGTATATCTCGATTCGTGTACACTTTACCAACAACCATTATTCGATGTTTCATTAATATTTTATCTCTTAAAAACAATACGTAAATACCCTAATAGTTTTTAACCACGCCTTCCTCCTCGAAAGTGCCCGAGGAACGGGCAAGGAAGTCCGGAAAAGGAAACTACCGATACGCTATGTACTCACGTTGGAACGGTAGCGGCGTTCCATTTATCTAGATGTTCCATGTTTGGACAGGCCCGGCGTGTCCTTAAATGCTTCTCCTCTCCCTTTCTTTGCGTGTCTCTGGTTTCGACTTACTACTCCTCTCGTCGCTCGGCCCGCGTGCG